CCTAGGAACCCCTAAGGGGGAGTCCTACTCTGTCCTATAGAGTTGCTATGAGTCAAAATCGACAATGGGGGCATACTATTGATTGATTTATTGTCTCTCCTTGTTGGGAGAGGGCACGGTTGGCAAACAAACATAGAAGATGCACGGTATTTATGAAAAAATTTGATAAGCTCCTTGGAGACAAGACCTGGTCTAAAGTAGGAACTTGATAAATTCTGAATGAATAAATAAACAAATGGGTGAATGACAGACCCAACTTATATCTAAGTTTCTATAGGTATACTGACTAACATGAAAACAAGCACTTTACTGTTTAGTAACCAGACATAATGAGTAAAGTAACATATTCAGGGATGCACAATAAAAGGAAAGCAGTACAACTATGTAGTAAAACTCCAACCGAGCCCCTGCCTTTCTTCTGCTGTGTTCCTGTACGTGCTTAGATCTGACAAGTCAGAACTCATCTGGATTCCCTTGCTTGGCTGAAATGTTCTTACCAACAAGGCTTCAAGTTAATAAATTCCAAATTTGTTTTTAAAGGAAACTCAAAGAAATCTCAGAAGCGTTTAGCTTGCTTATTCCAATATGCAAAAAATAAATATACAGAGAGAGACCCTTATCCACACTTTCAAACGCACCCAGAAGCAAATCTGCAGCCAGTGGACACTGGAGGGGCAGGTATAATAAGCTTCAAGTCCATCAGTACCTAGCTCTGTTTGCCAGCCAGTCAAAAGCAGCTTCCAACGATCACCTTCAGGATGGTCTACACGTACAAACAAAAGAAAAAGTTCTTTTTGTGGCTGGATGTTGACTGGGGAGAAAGAACCACAGAGACAACACAAATGGCCTGGAATGGAATAGCAATTCCTGTTGCAGAGGCCATCTTGGTTGCATCTCTAGTCCTAAGGAGCTCTGGTGATGCAATGGTTAAGTGCTCTGCCACTAACAGAAAGGTTGGTGGTTAGAACCCACCCAGCGGCTCCTTGGGAGAAAGACTTGGAGATCTGCTTCTGTAAAGATTACAGCATAGAAACCTTATGGGGCAGCTGTACTCTGTCACATGGGGTCGCTGTCAGTCAAAATCAACTCGATGGCACCTAACAACAACATTCTAGCCCTGCTGCTCACAAACAGCCCATACAACTAGCTACACTGGATCGTCTCCTCCTGCCACCATTTGCAATGGTGGTGGTGAGCGGGTGTTGTGTTTTGTTTACACTTGGAACCTCAATTTCTAGGATTCCTCTTACTGCCACATGGATGAGAGCATTACACCACAGTAGTTAGGAATGTGGATTGAGATAACAGACAATTATAGGAGTTATAATAGGTAAAGCACTAACCATAATGCCTTGGCACACCAGCACTTAATGAACATTTGTTGTTGTTGTTGTGTGCCACTGAGTCAATTCTGACTCACAGTGACCCTACAGGACAGAGTAGAACTGGCCCATAGGGTTTCCTAGACTGTAATCTTTACAGAAGCAGATCACCAGGTCTTTTCTCCCATGCAGCAGCTGGTGGGTTTGAACCACCGACTTTTTGGTTAGCAACTGAATGCTTAACCACTGTGCCACCAGGGCTCCTTTTTAATAAACATTCGCTATTATTAACACAGTTACTATATTACTATCTATTATATTATTCCTGACTTAAAAAAAATCATTGTTCAACAATAAATGATACATTTGTCTTCATCTTGAATTTTGATCTGAAATACAACCTCCCAGGGTTTTATCATTTATTTACAGCTAACTGTTTGCCTGCAATTTGGGAAATCTGCCACCAGACAGATATTGAATCGAAGCTTTTCATATGTATGATTAGCAAAAATAAAGTGATTTATAGGCTTTCCACTCAAGTCTACTCGTGAATAAATAAATATATAAATTTAGAAGTGTCTGCATAAAAACAAGAAACAGTTATTAGAGTAAACAAATTATATATATGTATATAATTTGTTATTAGACAGCAAAACAGAAACATTAGACAAATATGACTACATGCAGTATCTAGACAGGATAAGTAGTGAGTAGGATTTTTAAAAATGTAAATATTTAGGAGGCACACGTTCAATTATGTATTTTTCTAAGAGATTATCTGATAAAAATAATAATTTAATCTAATGCCCTACACTGCCTCGTTGCTTGAAAATTAAAACAAAATAAAAAAACAACAAAATACACATTTTTTCCCCCTTTCTACTAATCACACCAACCAAGGAAGCACATCATAATCACCTCACGGGCTTTATTAAATGACCACATTTTTACACAAATAACGCATGCCTTCTAGGTTTGTTTGCCAACCACACCTTCCCTTCCCAGTGAGATTATTTTTGTAAGCACACTATGCTAATTATTTTTTTACAGTAACATGTAAAAAAAAAATTGGTATAGTGGTGCTTATGAAAATACCTTTCTGGGGAAAGGCATGGTTGGCAAACAAACCTAGAAGGCGCATGTTATTTGTGTAAAACTACGGTGCACAAAAATTAGTTTCATGCAAGGAGATCTTGATTCAGTAGTGTGGGAAGTGAAGCAGATATTTGTATTTTACACAAGCTCCCCAGGTATTACTGACGAGCACCTATGATTAACATTCATACTGATGCACACTTGTATTAATAATCGCTGGACAAAATCTTTCTCTGATAAGCAGTTTTTTGCCATAAAAAATTTTGCAAAACACCTTCCCTGATCCTGTACCCTTCTCCCAAAGCAAGACTTCACTGCTTTTAACTCAATAAAGAGAAGGTGTTGAGTTACTCCTCAGCTGTTAAAATCAGGACAAGTTCCTCCAGCCCTTTTACACCAACACAGAAGCTATAAGAGATGGGAAAAGTGGGGAGGAGGGTGAGACTTTACATTTGCTACTCTTGTGAATGCTTTTCCTTTAGATTAGCGTTGTCCAACAGAACTTTCTGTGCTGATAGAAATGGTCTGTATCTATGCTTTCCCACAGGAGTAATCACTAGCCACATGTGGCTACTGAGCATTTATGCAACTGAGGAACTGAATTTTTTACTTTATTTAATTTTCATTCATTTAAATTTAAAGAACCACATGTGGCTAGTAGCCTCCATACTAGACAGTGCAACTCTAGATGAGCTCTGCCTGCTCATAACCTTCCTAACACCTCACTATTAGAGGTCCTTGTTTCATTAATTCACTCAGTAAACACTCCCTGTGCACCTACCACACATGCCTGCCAGATGGTAGGCACTGCAGTTATAGCAGTGAACAAATATTAAAACACCCTTTTTCTTGTGGCACCTTACCTTCTGGTCTCTTTAAAACCATCAGAGTCATCTGAACAACTGCATTCTCAAAGAACACTGGGTTAAACGTGTCTTTAAAATTATGGTATCTTGGAGCAAGTAACTGCAATTTGAGAAAACGATATAGTTGAATGCAGTTCAAAGAACTGGAGAATACAGAGTTTGTATGAGAAAAGAAAAGTAAACTCATGAAACTTTTCTGGAAGGGCAATATAATCTCATTAATAAAATAACTAGTTTGGAAGTTATTTCCAAGGGAGGCCATAAGCCTAGCTGGGCCATATGAATGTCGAGAAAAAGTATTAAAATTCAGCTGCCATGAGGGTACCAGTTATCAGTTGCCATGGAGTCAATTCTGACTCATGGAGACCCCATGTGTGTCAGAGTAGAACTGTGCTCCATAGGGTTTTCAGTGGCTGATCTTTTGGAAGTTTGGAAGTAGATCACCAGACCCTTCTTCCAAGGTGCAGCTAGGCTGACTTCAACTCCCAGCCTTTCATTTAGCAGCTAAGCGCATTAACCATTTACACCACCCAGGGATTCTGCCATGGGGGTTGTTGTTGTTGTTAGGTGCCGTTGAGTTTGTTCCAACTCATAGGGACCCCATGTACAACAGAATGAAACACTACCTGGTCCTGTGCCATCTTCACAATCATTGTTGTGTCTGAGCCTATTGTTGCAACCACTGTGTCAAACCATCTCATTGAGGGTCTTCCTCTTTTTCACTGACTATCTACTTTGCCAGGCATGATGTCTTTCTCCAGGGACTGGTCCCACCTGATAACATGTCCAAAGTACATGAGCATTCTGGCTGTACTTCTTACAAGACAGATTTGTTCGTTCTTCTGGCAGTCCATGGCATATTCAAAATTCTTCATTAACACCATAATTCAAATGCATCAATTCTTATTTGGTCTTCCTTAATCATTGTCCAGCTTTCACATGTATATGAGGCGGTTGAAAATACCATGGCTTGGGTCAGGCACACCTTAGTCCTCAAAGTGACATCTTTGCTTTTTAACACTTTAAAGAAGTATTTTGCAGCAGATTTGCCCAATGCAATACATCATTTGATTTCATGACTGCTGCTTCCATGGGTGTTGATTATGGATCCAAGTAAAATGAAATTGTTGACAACTTCAATATTTTCTCTGTTTATCATGATGTCACTTATAAAGAATTCCCAGCTAGGACCCCATTTAACGATTTCCAATGGAGATGGCATTAGAAGAGAGTCAAATTCATAAATGGAAAAGATACTTTTAAATAGCTGTAACAAATACTTCAACTATTTGGTAAAAACTTTTAAGAGATTAAAACAAAAAAAAAGTGATGGTTTGATAAAAGTTTATAATAGGTAAGACAACCAGGATCCAGAGAGCTGAATCAGTATCACCCAGCTAGTAAATGAAGAACCATAAACCAGACTCTAACTACTACTCCCAGACTATTTCCACTACATCATGCAGGGAGCTGAGGCAGGTGACCTCGCATCAGCAAGCAGCTTCTGAGATACTGGACACTGTAGCTGCTGAACACAGCATCCAAACAGGTCAAACCCGTAACAGCTGAACTCTAGTCAAAGACAAATGGGACTAGAAATAATCAGAATCGAGTGTCTTGGTGGAGGGTATTTGCCAAGAGAGAGGGCTGTTCAGAACTGCTGCATTTGGATGATTATTATTAATTAAACTCAGTACCAAGACTGTTCATCAGCAACCTTACCTAGTTCCGGGGGCAGAACGGTCAGGCGGTTCCCCTGAATGTGGAGCTCCTTAAGCTGAGTAAGCTCCCCAATTTCCTTAGGCAGTGAGATGAGGTCGTTATCCCTAAGGCTGAGCTAAATATAAGAAAACAAGGAGTTGTCAAAACAATTTTCATGTGAAGAGGCGCTCAACAAAAACTCTTTTCTCTTCCATGCCTTCTCTTCTTTCAAGGCCCAATCCTTTCAATTTTATTTACTAAGTGTCTGCACATAAACAAGAAACAGTATCAGGAGTACTGGTTCATTCCTGCAAAACAAACCCTACCCCTTCTAAAACTGACTTGATTCTACTACAACGGCTGCAAGAGTGAATTGATTTTCTAAGAATTTAGATAAATTACTTACTATCTGCAACTTTGTGAGCTTCCCAATATCTGGCGGCAGGATTTCAAAATCGTTGTCACTTAGATAGAGTGCACGCAGGGTGGCTGCAAATTAAACAGCAATATATAAACAAGGTGGCATGGAACCCAACCATTTGAGGTCTGATCAATACGAGGGTGTCAGCTTTGATTAATAACCCTGCCTTGGTGAAAAGCCTATGACATACCTAGGGCTCACAGTACTAACAAGCAGGTCAAACTTAGATTTACTGGCTTATTGTATGGCTGGTGTGTTCAGGAAAACACCTATATCCAAGAGGACTGACACAATTAACAATTGTGGGCACCAGCAGTTTTTGGCATAGAGTTTCAATACACATTCAGAAAAGACAGCTATTTTTTCTCTATTACTTCTGATTCACATTTATTACTCCATTTGCATCCAAAGTAAAACAAAGAAAATCACTGTGTCACTTATATCAATACCTAGAGCAAAAGGGCCCTTTTGTGTAAATAAAACTACATTAAAAAAAAAAAAAAAAAAAAAGGCTGTCCAGTGATGGGAGCCGTAATCCCTGCTCACCATTTCTGTATCAGACTAATTGCCGTTCCTGGTTTTCATAGCCTCAAGGACAAAAATAAATGAAAACAAAGGGGCCAAATTAACGACAGGGAGTTAAGTAAATCATAACTTAAGCAGGATCTCAGTAATCAGAAATTCTGTTCACATTACACAACGATAACATGATCCCAAACTACTGAAGGCAACGTGCTAAAGCATCTTTTTATCATCAACCAAAAAAAAAGGAGTAAAATTAAACATTTAGTTTGTTTTCAGGTGTTTTAATTACATTGTAATATTTTAAATTCGACAGAACTATATGTTAACGTATGTAACAAAAAACAATTTCCTCAACCAGAAATCAGGGCATGAAAACATTTAAGAGTTGGTTTCACATGCTTAAGAAAGTCTTGGGAGAGACAGTATACATAAAACAATAAAATTTCAGAGACTAGTTCAGAAAATTCGGAATTTCTGGATTCATATATGTCACTATTTGGAGAACTGGAACACTCATTTAAGGGAAGCAACACTTTCCTAAATCTTTCTGGTACATAAGTTCCCCAAAAACTCACTTTCACCTAATTTTTAAGAGCATCTTCAGCAAGAAATCTGTGTGCATATGAAAGGATAAAGTGTGTTCATTTGTGACTAACAATTTCCTAATGTAAGGTCGTGTACTGAACAAAATAAACTACTTCAATAAAACTTTTTTTTTAAGATGTAAAACAATAATTTTGGCTGAAAATTTAAAAAATTTGGCTAGTGATTTATTAATGGATATTTTTATAAACAATTAATTAGAATATCTTTGGACAAATGTCCTACAAAAAGTTAATAGCAATGTGGGAAGAAGCAATTTTTTTGGCACACTCTTCAAAAAGAAAGTCAAGTTTCTTAGCTAAATGTGAGATTTGATCTCATTTAAGTACATAATCTCTATTAGAAAGTTAATATGACATTACTAAGCCCACTTCAGCCCAATGGTGTCAGATAACTATATATCAAATATACATACTGCTGAGCTATGAAGGAATATTCAAAAGGAACCTGTAAAGAAAAAATATGTATGTCCAATAATTTCTCTTAGAGTTTGGGCCCTGGCAAATAAATTTTTCTTTGAGAACGCAAAATACCATTTTAAGGAGATTTACAGAATTAAAAGTTTCTTACTAAGGTAGAAGAAGTTTCCTGGAAGAGAATTTTCATTCAAGTTGTTGTAAGTCAAGTCAAGGACCTCAAGAGCTGGTAGAGAGCCAAATCCTCGAGGCAAAGTGTTTAGCCTATTCATGCTGTGGTTGGGGAAAGAGAAAATTCAAGACATCACATTCAGTACATGTGTTTATACACGATACTTAGAACAACTCTGTATTGCAGGCCTAGGTACCATGTACGATGGGCTGATATCTCAAAGGAGTGTCAATATTCTATAATCACTTTATGCTATTTTAATCAGCATGATAATTTTAGTCAGAGAACCTGTATGTTCATGAAACGTAAGAAAATTTCTTAGTTGTCATTTACTCCAAAGGTGAAGCTTAGTCACTGTTTCACACAGAAATTTATATTATCACAAAATGCCTGTCCTTCTAGAGAAAAACCTCAAAACTTCTTTATGAATGTATTGATAATACCTCAAAACATACATAACTGTATGTAATTAGTAATTTTCAGAGTTCTGTCTTTTGTTTCTTTTATTCCTCTCAATGGAAAGAAAAAAAAAATCACTTTTTTTTTTGTTCTGCAACTAGTAACATTTAAAATTATCTCTAATGAAATCTAACGGACATTTTTTTCTCCTTCTATCACTTATGATTTTCTTCAAGACCCATATTTTTCTTAATGTAGTTCCCTTTGAAGATACTTAGAAGCTGATTTAAAAAAAAAAAAAAACTTTAAGTTGACAGATATTGAAAGATGAGAAGGACTGTGACACAAAAAATAATTCTAGTCATTGATCCTTCTCCATAATAGATACCATCCAGTTCACACCTACCAAATGTACCTCACAAGAAAAAGCTAATAGCAAAGAGAGAAAAAAAGGGGGAAAGTGGATTTCCACCTCTTCACGGCAAAAAAAGTCCCAGGTAGATTTTATGCTTGGCAAAGTAACCTCCAAGACTGTTGTGCATGTACAATTCTTTATGACATTTAAGGATGGAAGTATCCTTTATTGAAACCAAATTTTTTTAATATATAATTTTATTTTGTTATTGTTATTGAGACTATATACAGCAAAACACACACCAATTCAACAGTTTCTACATGTACTATTTAGTGACACTCATTACATTCTTCGAGTTGTGTAACCATATGGAAACCTATCTTAATTCCTCTCCTAGAGAACTAAGAATCTTGTTCAAACCTTGACAACTGCATCTATGTTGCCACCTTATTAAATATAGAAAGCTTCACACAATCAATAAAGCCCTGAGAGCCAAAATGCGAACAACTCCAAAGAGGACAAGGAGATAACTGATACACGGTCACCAAAAAGAAAAGTTTGCAGCTGTGTCCTAAGGCACCCCAAACCCAACTGAACAAAACCTGAGCTCATTATCTTCTTCCCAAACCTGTCTCCATCCATATTTCTATTTCAGCTGCCTGACGCAGCAATCTGGGTATCATCCCATCCCATCAATTACTGTCTTGTCAATTTCAGCTCCTATATATTTTTCATATACAAGCTCTCATCTGCCTCCACTGACCCTGTCCTAGTTCCCCCGGAAGCTAATCTAGCATCCTCACCGGCCGCCTGACCTCTAGTACCTCCCTCCAACCTCTCCTCCACACTAATCTTTCAAACAAAAATCTGACCTTATCTCATAACCCATTACTACACTGTGCAAATTCTTCAATGGCCCCTAAGATGAAATCAGAGCTCCTTTATTTGGCATACAGGTCCCTTTGTTAGCACTTTTGATTCCCTGCCATTATAGACACATTTCTTTATGGGCTATGTCCTCAATTATAACCTAAGCTCAACAAAGGGTAGATGACCAGTGCCTGGTTCATAAGGGGAGCTCAATAAACACTCACTGGATGAACAGCAGACAGTCATGCTTCCCTGTCTGGCCTCACCTCTGACTGTTCCTTGCCTCACACTTCACACTCAGCAACACCAAAAAACTTGTCATTTCTGGAATATGCCATGCTTATAGCTTTCAAGTATGTCATATGTCAGTCTCTCAATCTAGAATGCCTACCCTCTGCTTCTAAGCCTGAGAAATTCCTTCCCATGCATCAAGTCTTGTCTCAAATACTGCTCCCTTGCAGATTTACAGAATCTCACCTGTAGACCAAGGCACTCCTTGACCCTCTGATCCCACTGCCATCCTACAACCTCTACCACATCAGTGACCCAGCTGTGCTGCTCTGCTCCCTCACAGCTGCCCCCCCCCCCCATGCTTGGAGCTCCTTAGGGCCAGGGACTGTGTTTTACCTTTGAATCCCCAGAACTAGCAGGGTCCATGATGTAGACTAGGCACTTCTTTCATCAAATAAATGAAGTAATAAAACAACAATGATGATAATAACAGCTAATACTTACATATTGCTTATTACAAGTGCCAGGTACTGTTCTAGTACCATAAATATGTATGTTGTTATTGCTGCTGTTAGGTACTATTGAGTCAATTTTGACTCATAGCGACCCTGTGTGAATGACAAGGTAGAACTGCCCCATAGGGTTTTCTTGGTTGTAATCTTTAAGGAAGCTGATTGCCAGGCCTTTCTCCCTCAGAGCTGCTGGTCGCATTTGAACCATCTACTTTTTGGCTAGCAGATGAGCACTTAACCTCTGCGCCACCAGAATGTCTTATACATACATATATTCATATATAACTAATATAACTAATATTTATATTAAAGAAGCTATATATGTATATATAAATGTAATATATGTATATTATTTTCTGTTAATTGTTCAGGCATGTATTAAATGAGCTACATTTTTATATATATATAAATTTGTAATTTATATATATATAACTTAATAAATATGTGAACAAATTAAAAGAAAATAATAAACATATATATGCAATTTTAGCGTTTTTCTTACATACAAATCAAGCATTAGGACTTAATAATCTTCAAAACAAAGATATCAGTGTGAGATCCTTTCTTCTGCTCTGCCATATGGGTACATACTCTCCAAATCTACCGGGGGAAAAATCCATCTGATCTATAATGATGCTTCCCCACCTTTAAACTCCACTTCCCTGAGACATCAGGAAGAAGAGTGTCCATGGATCTTAAAAATATTGTCAACCAGGGGTGAATCTTAAAATAAGGTGTCTAACCAAACTCCCTGTGGGAAGAATGAACTAAAAATCATTCCATGAATGAAATATTTTTTTCATTATTGCTTCCTATTAAATTGATAAATACCTGGCCAGTTGCTATTGCCACTCCATGTAAACCACTAACTTAACTAGAGCATTTAATGGCTATAATTTAGTGAATATATTACCTCACGTGGAGGACGAAGCATGAGTGGCGCAGTTTCATCTAACAGCTATAACAATGAAGATGGAATTCAAAGCCAAAGTCAAGTTCCAGGTGGCGTCTGTGGGGTCTGACGGAGAGTACAAAGAGTGGGATTCCTTCCTCAGCTCAGCCACTAACCAGAGGGGCCACCAGAACCACGTCACTTAACCTCTCGGAAAGGGCTTGGCTTCCTCTCTATAAAATGGAAGCAGTAATGTCTGCCCTCCCCACCTCACAACTGTGGAGAGGGTCAAATATTGGCACGATGACTTTGAACACTATAAAGCAATTACAAACACAAGGAATGATGATTATTCACTGCTCCCTGGTTCTGCAACCTCAGCTGAATCAAAACTCCTCTCTTCACCTTTGTATAAAGAAAGACATAGGATTATAACTTCTCTATTACATAAAAGAATTGCAAGAATTAATGAAGCAGTGTTAGAAAATGTATCCTCCCCTCCATAGGAGGAGGATGCTTTGTAAATGATTTGTACTTCATAACACAGGGCAAAAAATCAACCATATTACAACTAGCCTCACCAGTTGCCCCTAAAGACAGTAACGCTATGCAAGTAAGTCCCTTCTTGGTCAACATAACTGAAATAAAATTTTATTGGAAACAAAATACAGTAAAATAAAACTTCCTTATTGCACCAACAATTAGCTTCTCAATTAGCTCTCAAACAAATATACACCACACAGGCCAATGAAAGGATATATTAAAACAATAAAACTTTTTCAAAAATCTAAAGTATAAAAAGAAATTAGAAATTAGCACCTAAGCACTCCTGACATGACAATCTTTTGGAACCCTGGTAGCAAAGTGGTTAAGAGCTCAGGCTGCTAACCATAAGGCTAGCAATTCGAATCCACCAGCCAGCCGCTCCTTGGAAACCGTATGGGACAGTTCTACCCCGTCCTATAGGGTCACTACGTGTTGCAACCAACTCGACGGCATCTAACAACAACATGCAATGATATAATGGCCATCCCTTGCCACACGCATACCCCTCCCTCCCTTCACTCTCTGGTTCTCCTTAGCTTCCCCTCCACCAAGACTCACCCAAGGTTCAGGTGTTTGAGTTTTTGGAGGCTGCTGATCTGAGTGGGCAGCTCCTCAATCTGGTTATTAAAAAAGTTAAGCACTTCCAAGTTCTTCAGTTCTGCTATGTTCGCTGGCACAGCTAGGGAAATAAAAGTGCTGAGCGTGAGTACAGAAATCTCACTCCTAGCAAGAAATGCCAGCAACACATTTTTTTTTCTTTCTTTCAAATGAAAGACAGACGTAAATCCAGTAAGATCATGTAATTCACATAAAAGTTTCATTAATTTTTCTTAAGTAGTAACTCACCAACAAGTAGAAGTGTTACTTCTTGTAAGATTAGATAACTTCTTGGTAATATCTGTACCAGAAGGGTGATGAGGAGGGAAAGCAGGAAGTAAGAAAGGGCAAACAAGAAATTCTGAGCCATGAACGGATTATAAGTGAATATGATAATCACACACACTTACAATTGTCATATAATGTCCAGTAAGTCCTATTGTTTCTTTTTCTTTCCTGGCATCGTCATCAGAAGAAAGAGAGCAAACCCCAGATCCCTCTCTGAATGACGAAACATTAATCAAGCTGTTTAAATAACCCAATATCTGAAGAGCTGTTGTCTTAGTTATCTAGTGCTGCTACAACAGAAATACCACTGATGGGTGGCTTTAACAAACAGAAGTCTATTTTCTCACAGTTTAGAAAGCTAGTAGTCCAAATCCAGGGTGCCAGCTCTAGGGGAAGGCTTCTTCTCTCTGTTGACTCTGGAGGAAGGTCCTCGTCTCTTGATATTCTGCTCTTGGGCGATCTTCATGTAGCCTGGTGTCTCTCTTCACCATCTCTACTAGCTCATTTGCTTGTTTAATCTCTTTTATATCTCAAAAGAGATTGTCTTAAAACACATCCTATACCAAACCTGCCTCATTAACATAACAAAGACAACCCATTCCCAAATGGGATTATAACCACAGGCATAGAGGTTAGGATTTATGACACATATTTTGGGGGGACACAATTCAGTCCATAACAGCTGACCTCTCAACAATCCAAGAAATCACAATAACTTAAGTCGAACTTTAAATGATGAAATATTCAACCGAGCCAGTTTCTGATGCTGGCCTCTGGAGTAATGCACCTTGATCGATACACACACACACAGGTTACATCAGATTTGCAACAGATCAATGCACTGTTATTATATAGAAATATGAAAAACCAACTCAGTAGCATGATATGAATACTAGTGTCCAGATCAAAGGTTGAAATTAAAGACTAGGAACCTGCAACATTCCTCATTCCCTAGGGCATACACTTGTAAATGCAAATTTAAAATCCAAAGGCATCTTTACCTCAAAAGTACTAACTCTAAATTGGTAGGAAAAAGGCTTTCAGTAGATTGCAATCCTTCTATCCCATCTGCAGGTTCCATTTTTCTACAAACACTTGTTACTGGTGACAAACTCTCGTTCATGTAAACTCTACTACCAAGTCTATTCAGATGCTCTGGCGCTGTTCAAGCCTCATCTCAGAAGCGGGCATCACCTTTGCATAAAACCACTACAAAGGTATATATAAAATTCCAAACGTGCATCTAAAATATTTAAGCACACAGCAGTTCCAACAACTCCAATTTATAAGCCCCTGTGGAAATAAACGCAAAGAGGACAAGCACACTGTTCTCTAAAGTTCTGAGTCATAATTTTCAGTTTCATGAAATATCTAATGTATCTATGACCCGGTTTCTTCTTGAGGGAAGGCTTGGTAAAAGGGAAGGGAAACGCTCTTTACTGGGGGAAGGTATTGCGAAGAACTAGAACACTCCAGACTAAGATTAGATGGGGGCAGAAGTCCAGATGGAAGGTGACCATGAATTGGATTAGTTACTAAAGTGGCTGGTGGTGGGGATAGTGATGAAAGGACAGATTTTAATGGGATAAATGAGGCAGCTGGGAATTACCTCCAGAAACTGCACCCTTGAATAGCCTCATGAATGCATATGAGGTGGACCTTTACAATTTGGCTGCAAAAACACATCTTTGCGTGCGTAGTGGTGCAACGCTGAGCAAATAATCTGAGAAAATGGACTACATGAAAAAGAAAGGGGCATCAGGATTGGAGGAAGACTCTAACAACCTGCAATATGCAGATGACACAACCTTGCTTGCTGAAAGTGAAGAAGCCTTGAAGCACTTACTGGTGAAGATCAAAGACCACAGCCTTCAGTATGGATTATACCTCAACATAAAGAAAACAGAAATCCTCACAACTGGACCAATAAGCAACATCATGATAAATGGAGGAAAGACTGAAGTTGTCAAGGGTTTCATTTTACTTGGATCCACAATCAACACCCATGGAAGCAGCAGTCAGGAAACCAAAAGATGCACTGCATTGGACAAATCTGCCACAAAAGACCTCTTTAAAGTGCTGAAAAGCAAAGATGTCACCTCGAAGACTAAGGTGCGCCTGACCCAAGCCATGGTATTTTCAATCGCATCATATGCATGCAAAAGCTGGACAATGAATAAGGAAGATGGAAGGAAGAACTGCCGCCTTGGAATTGTGGTGTTGGCGAAGAATACTGAATATACCATGGACTGCCAAAAGAACAAACAAATTTGTGTTGGAAGAAGTACAACCAGAACGGTCCTTAGAATGAAGGATGGTGAGACTACATCTTACATACTTCGGACATGTTGTCAGAAGGGATCAGTCCCTGGAGAAGGACATCACTCTTGGTAAAGTAGAGGGTCAGCGAAAAAGAGGAAGACCTTCAACGAGATGGATTGACAGAGTGGCTGCAATAATGGGCTCAACATAACAACAACTGTGAGCACGGCGCAGGGCCGGGCAATGTTTTGTTCTGTGGTGCATAGGGTCACTATGAGTCAGAATCAACTTGACCGCACCTAACAACAACAACAACTGTGGCGCAACGGTTAAGTGCTTAGCTGCTAACCAAAAGGTTGATGTTTTGAACCCACCCAGCAACTCCGCAGGAGAAAGACCTGGCGATCTGCTCCCATAAAGATTACAGCCTAGAAAACCCGACGGGGCAGTTCTACTGTGTCACATGGGGTTGCTTTGAGTTGGAATCAACTCGACGGCACTCAATAAGAACAGTCAATAACACATTTTTGTGCAACTGGATGGTATTCACTTTGTGCAAATGATCTCAAAGAAAATCATCAGCTTGTGCCAGCTGAGTCGCTGGGTGTTATCTTACCTGATCTCTCAGTAGACCAGCAAGTGTGTGAAGCGCAGCTGTACAAATGACGAAGCCACCGCCCTAGAGACCTCACACTTTCCCTCTGCATATCCTCCAGCCACCACTAAACTTTCTTGCACTGCATTCATCTGATTAGTTTGAAGAGCAATAAAGAAAGTTACTGAAACCAGGAGAAAATGATGATCTCATTGCAGCCACAAACCAAGAATAATGCAGCCAGAATTACCACCACCTCCCCAAAGTTACTTTGCCAACACAATTAAATGCTGGTCTGAAGGTATCGCCTTTTTGACAGGATGAGAGATTATTTCACTCTCCTTGCTAAATCAGTCCAATTTAAAACCACAAATTATGCTAACTGTGATTTAGGGCTTTGTTTTGTGGACACAAACAATAACCCTACATTCAATTTACTAAGCCTCTCCCAGCTTTTTGGTGTGCATGTGAATTTTTTGTTGAAGACTCCATTCAAGCTAGAGTGAAAAAAATTACACAGCTAATAGTCTCCCAAAACTACAGAATTTTTTTCCCTAGCCATGGTAAAAATAAAAGGAAATGAACATTTGGACCTGTATGGATGGGACAGCATTCATTCTTTCAACCAATATTTAGAGAATACCTATTATATGCACAGTACCATACCCTCAGCATCTATCATTTCAATACTTTTGGGATAAAGTAAAAGAGGTCTGTTATTTAAAGAAAGTAAGTTACAAAAGAAAGGGTGAAATAAGTCAGTCACAAAAGGACAAATATTATATGATTCCATTTATATGAAATACTTAGAATAGGCAGGTGTATACATACCTAAGTTTATTAGTAGTTACTAGGGGTCGGCGGGGGCACGGGGAAGGGGATTAATTGCTTAGGGGACACTGAGCTTCTGCTAAGGGTGACAGAAAAATTTGGAAAGGGATAATGGTGACGGTTGCACAACATGAGGAACACAATGTCACTGAATTGTACATGTGAAGAATGTTCAAATGGTAAATGTTTTGTTACATATATATTTACTACAGTAAGAAAAAGTAAAAAAAAAATTCAATAAATTGAAACAGCTCTAATACTTGGAAAACAGTTAAACTAATCCCAGTAAAACTGTCCATGAAAAATAACCAGTTAACAGCATGAGTTATGTAAGTCTAACGAAACCATATACATACATGGCATGAACAGTAATATTCTTTTTTTTTAGTTTCACACACAAAAATTTATACACTTACTGTTATGTAACCCTTGTTGCTCTCCCTATACTGTGACAGCACACTCCTCCTTTCCATCCCAGACTTCCCATGTCCATTCAACCAGCTCTTGACCCTCTGCCTTCTCATCTTGCCTCCGGACAGGAGCTGCCCGTTTAGTCTCATGTATCTACTTGAGCTAAGAATAAGAAGCACACTCTTCACGAGTATCATTTTATGTCCCATAGTCCAGTCTAATCTTTGTTTGAAGAGTTGGCTTTGGGAATGGTTTCAGTTCTGGGCTAACAAAGAGTCTGGGGACCATGCCTTCCAGGGTCCCTCTGGTCTCAGTCAAACCATTAAGTCTGGTCTTCTTACTAGAATTTGAGTTCTGCACCCTACTTTTCACCTGCTCCGTGAGGGACTCTCTGTTGTGTTCCCTGTCAGGGCAGTCACTGGTGGTAGCCAGGTACCATCTAGTTCTTCTGGTCTCAGGCTGATGAGTCTCCGGTTTATGTGGCCCTTTCTGTCTCTTGGGCTAATATTTTCCTTCAATCTTTGGGGTTCTTCATTCTCCTTTGCTCCAGGTGGGTTGGAACCAATTGATGCATCTTAGATGGCTGCTCACTAGCTTTTAAGACCCCAGACGCCACTCACCAAAGTGGGATGCAGAACATTTTCTTAACAAACTTTGTTAACTAATTGACCTAGATGTCCCATGAAACCATGGTC